TTTGTTGGTTATTAGCAGTTTCCTAGTAATGAGAAGTTTTGAAATTAGTTGGTTAGTAAGTCTCTAAGATAGGGAAAATTATTTAGTACTCTTGGAGCAAGATGATGTGGTGTTTCAACTTGATTTTTATTGGTTAAAAAGTAGGACCCATCACTTTTATGTTGTGTTTTAGGAGACAATAGGACAAATGTCTTGAAGTGAATGGTACAGAGCATTGCTCAAGACTCAACAGACCGACCACTTGCTTAGATAATTAGGTTGTATCTGTTATAGTAATTAGTGGGTTTTCAAGTTTGTAATCTAATTTCTTGTATTCAAAGACGTAGTCACGGATTGAAAACTGGATGTTTCCTGAATTAAACTTCTTATGAATTATGGAGCTCTGATTCTCCTCAAATTGAAACAGAAGATCTTCCCCCTTGAAGTGGTCTTTTCTCCCCTTTTCTTCCATTTTTGTTTTTCTGTTACAAATGGTAACATAAAACCTATTGCCATTTTTACTGCAAACATCTATTCAGTTATCTATCCTATTATATAAAGCATACAACTTAGGGGTGCAATTTGGGCAGGCTCAACCCGAGCCACCCGAGCCCAATCCAAAATTTTTTAGAGCGTGGACAAATATTTTTGAATTTGGTATGGGTTTGGACAAAAATTTAAAAGCCTAAATTAAATTTGGACAAGATTGGACAGAAACATCAAACAACCCAAGCAACCCGAAACGCGAATTATATATATGTACTTATATAAATCTTGAATATACATATAAATTATTAGTCAGTGGATGATATTAAAATAATTTAGATTGTTAGATCATATTGAATAACATCACAAAATTTTATTTATTTATTTTTTCTCATTCACAAATTGTAAAGACCATCGTAGCTGCATCCCTCTTACATTATATAAATAATTTGTCATGACATTATTAATGATTTTTATTAAAAAAAAATTATAAATAAAGTCTAATTTTAACAAATTAATTAACTGCAGTAAAAATAAATAAATAAATAAATAAAAATAAAAAAATAAAAGAAGAAGAAGAAGAAGAAATATTGAAATTTATTTGCAACTTGGGCAATTCGGTTTAATTCAAGTCAAGCTTGGACATAGAACCTCGGATTACAATTTGGGTTTGGCAGGCCTAAGTAGTAGCTCTTCCCACAACTTGGACCGAGATTGAACAACCTCTCAATTGGTCCAGACTCTCCCTAGTTGCACCCCTAATACAACTTGAGGTGAACACTGTCACGGTTTTTACTTTTCCAAAAATGCCCCTCCAACAAAATAACGGTCACCCCTTCCCACCCAATAACTATGCCATCCACTTATTGTTACAAAATTTTCTCCGCCACCCAACTGTCCAAACTGTTAATCAGTTTTTATCAATAATCAAACTATCTAAAATATTTAAATATAAAATTACAAACCCATCGCGTTTGCACCCACCACTAGTTCCCTTAATATCTTCCTCTTCATTTCATTGTCATATATATATATATATATATATATCATATATGTTATGTGTTTCTATGGGGAGAGAAAGAGAGAGAGAGAGACCTGGGCAAGATGTTGAGAATCAGGGGCACTAGCGAGGGCATCAGCAAAAGGCTCCCAATCCTGAGACAGCATACCGCCAGTTGGGTCAGCGATTTTGATTCCATTGTCGGAGACAATGTTGTGGGAAGCAGTGATCATCAAACCAATCACAGATTGAGTCTTGAGAGACCTCAACGCGGCCAAAATCCCAACCCTAAACACAGTCGATTGGAGCACCAACCAGTCTGCTCTGAACCCCGATGTTCCATACGATAGTTTCACTCCTTTCACAAATCAAAACACACACACAATCAAATTCAAATTCAAACTCAAAATCGAAATCAATGGTTGAAAAAGGACCTGGTGGTGGTGAAAAATGGTCGGAGGATTCGAGGAGGATTGATCGCTGTTGCTCATTCACTTTTTCTTCGGATCGGCACAAAGAAAGAGAGAGAGCAGTGGTGGAGTAGTGAGAAACCGGAGGTTTCAACTGTCGATACTATACTCGATACTCATTCAGCCCACAAAAAATAAAATAAAAATCACTTTACTCCTGTAATTTTAATCCCGTTGCTTAAAGTTTTTTTAATTTTATAATAAATAGTTTATTTTATTAAAAAAATATTAAATTAATTAATAATTTTTAATGATGTCAAAAATTTATTTTAATTGATAATTTAGATAATGAAATTTTATTTTTTCAATTAGTTTTATTAAATAAAAAATTTTAATATCGGAGTATTTATAGTTTTCTAAACTAAAAAAAACAATTTATATTTTAAGCAAATCTCAGATGATGTATTTATAATTTACCTAAAAAATTAAAAACTTAAAACCTGTGTTTGGTTTGGATTTTGGAAAGAGTTTTGAGAGTCCAAAATTAATTGAAAGTTTATTTGTTTTATTTTATTCGAGCAAACTACTTGGAAGTCCGGAGAAATCTATTTAGTCTCGCAACCTTTTGAATACTTTCAAAAGTTTACTACGCATTTTTCTTCTTCATTTTTATGTACGCTTTCGTTCTTTTCTGCCCCTTTCTCTTCTTAATTTTTGCTAACCGACAATCACACCTTATTTATTCTCTTTCTCTTTTTGACATATAGTCATCGGCGACTAACGACTACCATTGATTGGGGTTCACTGGCAATCACTGACCACCGATACTTTACTTCACCATCACCGACGGCGAATGAGACAAGTTTTCAGTGAAAAATATAAGTAGATCTACTTAAATCTGATGTAGATTTGCATCAGATCTACATAGATTTGCATTAAGTTTTCAGTGAAAAATATAAGTAGATCTACTTAAATCTGATATAGATTTACATCAGATCTACGTAGATCTGCATTAGATCCGACTATCTAAATCAAAAATAGTTGTCAGAATGCAATCTTCTCTCCATATTTGTTTCTTTCCTTCGATCTCTCAATTTTTTTACATTTTCTCTACTACACATTTCTATTTTCCTATTTTAATGGAAAAAAATTTTAATTTTTGAACAAGTTGTTTTCGAATTTTAATTATAGGCAGTGAAAACTGTAAAATTGCAGTTTTAATTTTTTTTGGTGTTAAAATGAATCATACTTTAAAATTATAAAATTTTGTAGTTTTATAACATTCTTTAGAGTTATAAAATTTTACAGTTTTATAACGTATTTTTCAATTTGATTAATAAGGATAAATGTTTAATAGAATTATATTTTGAAACTGTAACATTTTATAGTTTTAAAATTTACTTTCAATTTGATCAATATTAAAAATTATTTGCTTAAATTCTATAAAAATTAAAAAAATAATACATGTTTTTTTTCTCATTGTTGCTGTTTTTTGTTGTTGTTATTGTTGTCGTTGTTGTTGCTGTTGTTGTTTTTTTTTTTTTTCCATTTCAGTTTATCAATATTTAGCACATTTTGCTATATTTTTTCACTCTAATTTCTCCATGTATTCTTTTTTTTTTTTTTTTGTCCCAACAATATTTTGAACATTCCAATGAGTCTCCAACGATATTCTTGACGTCCATCAAATGTTCTGGACATTCCGAGACTTCCAGTGACATTCAGAACATTTCAGCGATATTCTGGTGATGTTGAACATTCCGGCGAGTTTCTGATGACCGTCTGACGGATGCGTTTTAAACCTTGATGAGTTTTGAATTTTGTGTATGGGACTTACTTTTATTATTTAAATTATTTCAAAATTATTTTTATTTTCAATACTATTTTAAATTTATCTATATAGCTTACTCACCGAGTTATGAATAATGTTATATGAAAGATTTACTCCCCAAAATTATATAATTGTTGATGTAATAAAACATATTCTTAAAATTATGTTAAAAATTATTTCAAATTTATTTTAAATTTATCTCTGTTTTCAACACTATTTAAGGTTACTCACCAAGTTATTTATGAATAATGTTATATGAAACATTAATACTCACCAAACTATATAACTTTTGATGTAATAAAAAATAATAAAGACATCACATCTCAAAAACCTCTTAAAACTCAAAGTTTACTGAGAAATGACAAGTAAAAAAAATTCCCTAAGCCACATGCCAAATTTTACTTTTTATTATTTCACATTATTGTGGTTTTTCTAAAGTTATAAAACGATTTTAATTCAAATAATGTTAAGTAAACAATTGTTATTTGATAATGGTACGAATAACTGAAAATTCAAGCATGTAGTGAGCAAAAACATTATTTACCACATAACACTACAAGAAATAAGAGTTTTTGCGACGTTTTTTTAACGGCGTTTTTTTAAACGTCATCATTATTAATATTTAACGACGTCTTAAAAACGTCGCATATTTATTTAATTAAAACGACACCGTTTTATGATCAACGGCGTTTAAAAGCGCCTCCAAATGCTGTACATCACACGCGCCTATTTTGGATCTGTGAATAAAGCTTTGTAAACCCTCATGTCTTCAGACATAAACATTGAATCCTCTACACCCTTATCCTCACGTCGCGCCTCTCTCTCAATCCTCTCTAAACCCTTATCCTCACGTCCCCTCTCTCTCAATCCTCTCTAAACCCTTATCCTCACGTCCCCTCTCTCTCAATCCTCTCTAAACCCTTATCCTCACGTCCCCTCTCTCTCAATCCTCTCTAAACCCTTATCCTCACGTCCCCTCTCTCTCAATCCTCTCTAAACCCTTATCCTCACGTCCCCTCTCTCTCAATCCTCTCTAAACCCTTATTTTGAATCTCACATTCAAATCTCACAGATTCACCGATTTCGAAGCTCCACTTCCACCACCATCTGCACCGGCGAGGTAGCGAGATTCACCGATTCACCGTTTGGGGACTTACCTTTTTAGCCAAAAAGCCAAAAAGTTACCCTTTTAGCCAAAAAGCCAACAACTTATACCAAAAAGTCAAAGATTCTCTTTTCTCTCTACTTTTTGCACATCTTTTCGTAATTAGCCAAAAAGTCATCCCAAACATATAAGTTTTTTTTACCTACTTTTTTAGCCAAATAGCCAAAAAGTTACTAAATTAGCCTGTTCCCAAACGAGGCCTAAGTCTCATTTTAAGAAACTAAAATAGTCACTTGGTAACTGCACATGATCACCACGTGACTATTTTCTGTTAACTTATTAAATGGAGACTACGACAGCCCAATGTCAATAAATCAATGTTGCATTTTTGTTAACTAGATCTTCCAGCAGATAGTAATCTCTTGAAGTCGTCTTTTTATTTTTTCTCCCTCTCTCATTTGGAAATTCCTCAAGCCAAAATGCGTTGTACGTACAATTTTTTATATAGTATTTATTTCTTTTAACATGGTGGAAATGTGGCTGTGGATGCAGTGATGGTTTTTGGGATGTTGTTAACTCCAAGAAGGCAAATCAGCTTGTCCAACAGGTTTTATCTCTTGATTGATGGGTTTTTGTGGAGTGTTCTTTCTGAGTTGTGTTAATTTTATTTTTATTTTTGTTTTGATGTTAAACTGAGCAGGCAAGGGAGAGATATGCTGCAGATAGAGAAAATCCGGCAGAAAAAGTAGCTAGTTTTTTGTTGAGCGAGGCCAGAACACAACGTACAAAAGATAACACGTCTATTATTTTCTTAGATTTTGACAACATAAATAGAAACTCTTCTTGTAAACCAGATTCTTAGAATTAGCTTTTATGTAAAATATTGTAATTTTTATAATTTTATTTATTTTTTCTCTCTCTGAAATAAGTCTCTCTCCTTGCGTTTCCTTTAAAGCTGTCTAGAAGAGTTCTCAAATAAGTTTGCCGGTTATGTTTCTTGCTTGTGTCTTGGCACTTCAGTTTGCAGAGTAGGAAGCTGTGGTTTTTTACATTTTTTTAGGTATTTTAGTATAAAGTGTAAGATAAATTGATAGAGAGAAAGAGAGAGAATAAATTGTGTATTGATTGATATGTATTGATGTATTACAAGATTGTTGTCTATATTTTGTATATTACAAGCTATTATATAGGAGAGGATTTGGGAGTAGGTGAGGTAGGTGAGTGGTGGTAGTGGATGGTAGTGGAGGTGGTGGGTGGTAGTGGAGATGGTAGGTGGAGTTGGTGGTGTGGTAATTTACACAATTTACAATTTACATTAACAGAATTCATAAGTTCCAAATATTTGAAGGTTTTTTTATATTCCATAAAATTACATGATATAATATAATGTGTGATTGTGCATTCATGTGCTTTTAATTCCTTATAATGATTAGCAGTTTAATATGTCTATTGCTCAAATTAGTTGTCTTAACCCTTACTGGTGAAAAATATTTTGGGTTGAAATGTAGTAGTCAAAATTATTTTGTTCAATATTCATATGAAACAATTTCTTTTAATTATGTCTTATTGAATTACATGTAATTTTCATAATGTTAAGAAGTTAGTTATGTGGGAAATAGTTTTGAATTATTACACCATTAATCTTGGTTTTGTAATTTTTAGTTAAAGGTTATTTAAAATAGGACAAATTACTAATAAGTCCTCCTTAGAAGAGGTGTGGCCTATTTAGTCCAACAACCTCTTGTTTATACCCAAAAGTCTTGTAATGTTTTTCTTCTTCTCTGCCTCTTTCTCTTCTTGATTTTCGGCAACCAGCAACCACATCTTACTTCTTCTCTTTCTTTTTCTAATATATAGTCACCAGCAATCGATGACCACCATCGATTGGGGTTCACCAGGAACCATCGACCACTGATTTCTTACTTCACTCTCACCAACGGTGAAGAAGATATATTTTTGACCAAGAAGGTGAGTAGGTCTACTGAAATCTGATGTAGATCTACTCAGATCTACATTATATCCGAATAGATCTACATCAGATCCGACTAGATCTAAACAAAAAATAATTGCTGGAGTGCAATTTTTTCTCTATATTTGTCTATCTCCTTCAATCTCTCAATTTTTTTACATTTTCTCTACTACACATTTCTATTTTCTTATTTTAATGGAAAAAATTTAAATTTTTGAACAAGTTGTTTTCGAATTTTAATTATAGGCAGTGAAAACTGTAAAATTGCAGTTTTAATTTTTTTTGGTGTTAAAATGAATCATACTTTAAAATTATAAAATTTTGTAGTTTTATAACATTCTTTAGAACTATAAAATTTTACAGTTTTATAACGTGTTTTTCAGTTTGATTAATAAGGATAAATGTTTAATAGAATTATATTTTGAAACTGTAACATTTTATAGTTTCAAAATTTGCTTTCAGTTTGATCAATATTAAAAATTATTTGCTTAAATTCTATAAAAATTTAAAAAATAATATATGTTTTTTTTCTCATTGTTGTTGTTTTTTGTTGTTGTTGTTGTCGTCGTTGTTGTTGCTGCTGTTGTTTTTTTTTTTTTTTCATTTCAGTTTATCAATATTTTTTTTTTTTTTTTTGTCCCAACAATATTTTGAACATTCCAATGAGTCTCCAACGATATTCTTGACGTCCAACAAATGTTCTGGACATTCCGAGACTTCCAGTGACATTCAGAACATTTCAACGATATTCTGGTGATGTTGAACATTCCGGCGAGTTTCCGGCCAGTGACATTCAGAACATTTCAACGATATTCTGGTGATGTTGAACATTCCGGCGAGTTTCCGGTGATCGTCTGATGGATGAATTTTAAACCTTGATGAGGTTTGAATTTTGTGTATGGAACTTACTTTTATTATTTAAATTATTTCAAAATTATTTTTATTTTCAATACTATTTTAAATTTATCTATATAGCTTACTCCCCGAGTTATGAATAATGTTATATGAAAGATTTACTCCCCAAAATTATATAATTGTTGATGTAATAAAACATATTCTTAAAATTATGTTAAAAATTATTTCAAATTTATTTTAAATTTATCTCTATTTTCAACACTATTTAAGGTTACTCACCGAGTTATTTATGAATAATGTTATATGAAACATTAATACTCACCAAACTATATAACTTTTGATGTAATAAAAAATAATAAAGACATCACATCTCAAAAACCTCTTAAAACTCAAAGTTTACTGAGAAATGACAAGTAAAAAAAATTCCCTAAGCCACATGCCAAATTTTACTTTTTATTATTTCACATTATTGTGGTTTTTCTAAAGTTATAAAACGATTTTAATTCAAATAATGTTAAGTAAACAATTGTTATTTGATAATGGTACGAATAACTGAAAATTCAAGCATGTAGTGAGCAAAAACATTATTTACCACATAACACTACAAGAAATAAGAGTTTTTGCGACGTTTTTTTAACGGCGTTTTTTTAAACGTCATCATTATTAATATTTAACGACGTCTTAAAAACGTCGCATATTTATTTAATTAAAACGACACCGTTTTATGATCAACGGCGTTTAAAAGCGCCTCCACATGCTGTACATCACACGCGCCTATTTTGGATCTGTGAATAAAGCTTTGTAAACCCTCATGTCTTCAGACATAAACATTGAATCCTCTACACCCTTGTCCTCATGTCGCGCCTCTCTCTCAATCCTCCTATTATATCATGCTATAGTTGGTGTCTATACTATAATATATAGACAGATATAGTATTATATTATATTCATATACAATTATATTCATATATTATATTCATATATTAACAAATTTGAAATTAAAGAGTAAAGATGAGAGAGAGGAGTCTGAGATTACTTCACGGGAGTCCTATAATCATGTTATTGGAGATAAAATTGGGAGTCCCAATTAGAGAATGTAACGAAATTGATGAATAAATTTACATCTCAATCTAGTAACAATGCATTTTAGAGTGGTGATGACTTAGCCTAAAATGATCACATTGGGTTGTATAGGATCAAAATACTACATTGTGTATTGAAGCGTGATGAGAGCTACTTCTAAATTCTATAGGAGCCATCTTTTAAATTTTGATGTAAATTGTTATTGTCTCACACGAGATGTGTGGGCAAATGGGTAATTGTCCCGATTTAACATATCTTCAAAATAAATATAAACTCTAATTTGACATTAATTTCTCAAAGATTTTTGCAAAATGCTTGTTAGCCGCTGCTAAAAAAAAGAAAAAGGCAAAAAGAGTTCTTGGTAGCCTTGAATCTGTTAGAATTTACCAATTTACTCCTCCACCTACCATCTCCACTAGCACCCACTTCACCTACCACCTCCACTACACTATACCTACTACCCAAACCCTCTCCTATATAATGCCACTCTGATTTGTAATACAATATATCAACACAGATCAATCAATAAATACATCAATTTTAACATGAGTTGTTTAGACATAGGTTAACAAGACGAGGTTTGGTGACAATTAAAAGTTATCGAACTTGGCACTGTTTTTCTTACGGCATGGGTTGGTGATTGGCAACTCACCCGCTTGTAGGGGCGGAGACACGGGAGGTCCAAAATAATCGCGTGTTTTCCCTCAATTTTTAGAAAATTATTTTGTTACCTCTAATTTTATAATAAAGAAATGTTATATATCACTGATATTGTGTCATTGTTTTATATTACCTCTTATACTACACATAATTATTACACAATTAATGACAAATAATAATATATTGTCATGTAATTCAATTATTCAAAACGGTAAAAAAAAATAAGTAATATATAGTAGCCTCTGTATATTATTTATTCACTTTTCTCTCATTTCTTTCTCTATTCTTATTATATCTCTTTATGTGTATGCATCGTAATATAATTTTATTCTCATATTTTATGAGGGTATATGTAATTATTTTTTAAACGGTGATGATCATCATACATAAAATAAATTAATAACAATAAAAACAATGATCAGTTAACTTGATCTTATATTTAAATATAATTTTAGTCCTACCATCAAATTAAAATTAAGTTAAATTGTAATTTTTGTTAAGATTTCAATTCAATGGTACCCCTTCTAAGCCAAAATCCTAGCTCCGTCACTGTCTACTTGTGAGAGTGAGTGGATTGTTGAAACATATATGAAGGTAAAATTCCATATCAAATACAGAAATGAGAGGTCAATGATTTTGGTGCACTTTATAAGGTAATGAGTAACATAGTAGTCCAAGATTTTTGGAGGTCACAGATTAAAGTCTCGTTTGGGAACAGACTAATAGTAACTTTTTGATTATTTGGCTAAAATATGAGCTAAAAAAAAACTATCATGTTTGGGATAACTTTTTAACTTTTTATGAAAAGATGTGCAAAAAGTAGAGAGAAAAGAGAATATTTGACTTTTTGGTATGAGTTGTTGACTTTTTGACTAATTTAGTAACTTTTTGATTTTTTGACAAAAATAGAGGGTTCCCAAACGAGGCCTAAGTCTTATCTAACTATATTTTTGAAAAGTTGAGACTTTCGATAATAATTTTTTATTTTTATTTTTTTTTTGTTTATTTATTTGTTTGTAGAGCTTAAGAAACAGCCTAAAACTCATTGGTTTAGTTACTTTGGCGAATAGTGGAAGGCGGTATCGAGCGGCCAAGGGACATATAGCATGGGGTGTGGACCTTGTGGAAGGGTACCAACTTGTGGATTAGCCACTATTAGTGTTTTGTTGAATTCCAGACAATCTTCAAAGTGGAGTTTATAGAACCTCTAAAAATAAATGGTGAATTGGAGCTCCACGTTTTCGAAGAGAATAGTAGGTCATGCAACTTTTGCAATTGGACAACATCAATGATAAAAGGTGGAATTTACGAGTCAAGTTATCCCCATGTTATTTTTAGTTAGGAGATTTAAAAAAGAAAATGAAAAACGTATGTGAAGTTAGGTAAA